CCCTCCCCCCCCCATCCCTGAGCCGTGCGGTGACGCTGCGGTGCCCCGGTGTCCCAGGCGCGGTGCGCGGGGTGGCCGCGCTGCCGTTGGCGCAGACGCTGCACGCGATGGGCGCCGGACGGACGCGAGCCGGGGAAAAAATCGACCCCGCTGTGGGAGCCGAGCTGCTGGTGGAGGCGGGGCAGCGACTGCGGGAAGGTGAGGGGGGGAGGAGGGGGGGCACGTCCCGGTGCCGGTCCCGGTGCTGCATCCTGGTGCCCCATCCCGGTGCTGTATCAAGGTGCCCCATCCCGGTGCCCCATCCCGGTGCCCGATCCTGGTACTGCATCCCGGTGCCATATCCCAGCGCCCCATCCCGGTGCCGCATCCCGGTGTCGGTCCCGGTGCCACAAACAGGTGCTGCATCCTGGTGCAGCATCCCTTTGCCAGTCCTGGTGCCGTATCCCGGTTCCGTATCCCGGTGCCGGTCCCGGTGTCGGTCCCGGTTCCGTGTCCCAGCGCCCCGTCCCGCTGCCCGCAGGTGACCCCTGGCTGCGGCTGCACCACAACGGCCGCGTTGGGACCGCGCAGCGCCAGGCACTGCAGAGCGCGCTGCTGCTGGAACCGGACCCGGTTCGCGGTACCGACACCGATACCGGCACCGGCACCGGCACCGCCGCGCTGCCCCGCATCGCCGACATCATCCTGCCCCGCACGGAGCTCCGCGGGGAACAATAACGGCGGCGCGGCGGTTCCGTGCGGGGGAGAATCCGTGAGCGGATCGACACCGAACCGACCCGCAGTGACACCGAACCGCCCCGGTCCCGCAGCGACACCGAACCGACCCGCAGTGACACCGAACCGCCTCAGTCCCTACGCAACACCGAACCGGTCCGGTCCCGCAGCGACACCGAACCGGTCCGGTCCCGCAGTGACACCGAACCGCCTCAGTCCCTACGCAACACCGAACCGGCGCGGTCCCGCAGTGACACCGAACCGGCGCGGTCCCGCAGTGACACCGAACCGGTCCGGTCCCTCAGCGACACCGAAGCGCCCCAGCACCGCAGCGACACCGAACCGCAGCGACACCGAACCGCAGCGACACCGAACCGCAGTGACACCGAATCGGACCACAGCAACACCGAACCGCCCCGGTCTGCAGCGACACCGAACCGCAGCGACATCGAACTGCAGTGACACCGAACCG